TGTAACAACAGTCAGGGTCATATGAAGAAGCATATATCCTTACATAGCCGGCCATGTATGAGTTTTCAAATGATGGAAAATCATGGAAGATTTTTCTATCATGCATGGGCATGACGGCACACTGAAATGGCGTCATGCTGCGGCAATTATGACGACATTTCAACCTTAAGATTAATTTTATATTCCGGACTTACTGTTTGATTTCATTTTTATGGTCTGATATATAATTAAAAGTTTATACTTTCACTATAATCTAAACTTTGATAAGCTATTTCCAACGGTATAGATAACTTTAAATTCAGTTTAATATTAATGAAGTTGGTATTGTGCCTCAAGATGCTGGCTTCACTTGTTACAAGATTGGTGGTTATACACCCTGATAAAAAATGGGCAAGCTTTGTTTTGTATATATGAATATATAATTGTATGTAGGTTAGAAATGTCAAACCATTGGTTGCAAAACCTGGGTTAAAAAAACTCGGCAAGCCTCAGCTTTTGCACAAAATTCGGTTCATTTGGGTTGAATATATCTATCCTCAATATGTACATAAGAAAGTCGTAAAATCTTACATCATCAGCAACCATAAATACTGTTATCACCTTTAAAATATTTGATAATTTGTTTTCGCATTATGTTCATCAGATTTACTATTTTCAGCTCATTATTCGATTTATATGTTACAGAACATAGCTTTCTACCAAGACAAGACCACTGGTGCTAATGTTATGCTAACGTGTGATGGATTCGAAGTAGGTCACTGTGACCCTGTTTTAGTAAGTACACAGATGGTTCATAATATTTTCTACATGTACTGTGAAATCACTAAAATGTTAGTGCGGTTTTAAATTTCGTTGATTTCGTGGGTAATCTTCATTCAAGAATTCAAAGGTTCACGAGTAGTTACAGGTTAGACATAAAGCAATTCTTCCTTTGAGTGGGTACTCGTAAGCCAAGAATCCATGTACTCATGAACGGTGTTTTGTCGGGTGACCTCGAAATTCATATGAATGTATGATAGAGTCTACTCAAGTTACTTAGGGGTGAAAGGGATCAGGCCGGTAATATTTTCAAGTTCGTCTCATTTAATGATATTAATTTCTTTGTTACGAATAAATAACACAGCCAGTCGAAGACTGAGTAGTTCGAGTCAGTTAATTTTCTGCAGATCACGACATCTACATATAGACGTTTTAACATTACACGATTAAAACATATAAATATGTCAACGTTCCGTGATTTGCATACGATACACCTCCGTAAGGAATATTTAATACAGGACGTCCTACTCAAATCAAAAGGGTGTTTGAACGTGCTGAACGACATTGATCAGTTGTAATTGTTGTCTATCGCATGTTAACATGTTCAAAAAAACATTTATTAAATATATTTCTGTCTTAAAGTTTTCGTTTAAACAACAGAACAAAACTAGAAATTCATAATACTTCAATATTTATCTTAATATCATATTTTATAAGACATCGGTAAAATAAAATTAATGAAACATGAAATATATGGCATCGAAATTTAACACAGTGTACAAAAGCGTACACAACCAATTTGATAATAAAATACAACACTTATATCATTGTTAACTGGAAAGCAAACCAAATATACAAATATAAGAGAACCGACACTCAAAGCACCCCCACTCAACAACCACCGACGTCTTTAATCAAATTCATTAATGTTAAATTAATTAATAAAAGTTTCTTTTCAAAAATCCCTTACCTTCAAAGGCAAAGTATAAAAAAAATCAATTCAAATATGAAATAAACAATTGTAAAATCCCTTTATCTCATTCTGTCAGTAGCTATTGAAGAAATCCAGCTTCATTACCACACATAAAAGGGAGATCATTTAGACGTGACATTCAGATAATTCGCAATATTGTGAAGTTTATCATTAATTTTTGGCCTTATTTCATTGAACGAATATTATTATCTACGACTGTCAGTATCAAATAAATTTAAGTGATATACAATCTCTCTGGAACATGATTTAAGCCTCGCATGATAAATAATAATATAAAGGACACGACAGAAAAAGTTTTAAGCTTAGCATCATGAATAATAGTATAAAAGAAATGACTGAAATAGATTGAACTACTGTATGTGACCTTCATCTGGAATTCAAGTAGCTGAAACATAGAAAATAAATCATTTTTGATAAAGATAGATTACCTTAATCTTCGGCTATTTGTCATGCCCGTCAAAAATAGAACATATATAAATCAATTGTTGTATGTTTCTCTTATTAATTCTTAGATTAACGGGAAAATGCTGGATAATGGGGTGTTTGTCAACATCTTCTGTATTACACCAAAAATCCTTATTATGTTAATTATATCTTCTAAATGAAAATTGCGTAAGAGGAGGGGATTAATCGACTTGTGTCTTTTGTTTTGCGCTTAACATCCTCGCCGCAGCCACGGTCATATGAGGACGGGATTAATCAATATTGAGTGGTGCTATGTAACACTTCACTTATTCTGATATAATCTAAGTAAACGTCAGAGATTAACTAGTTATCAACTCTAACTGTTCTAAAGCATCCTTCTAGTTCTTATAACATCTGATTGCTTAGTGATCGTTCTTATATACTCTGGTTTAATATACAGTTACTTAACCAAACTCTGGTATTAAGTTATAAATGTGAGATTGATTTATGCATCTTTTCATCACGCTAAAATACAATGTTGAAAATTGCGTTGGACAAAAATCTGGACGGTTACACATTTTCATAACCATTTAACCGTAATAGACCAAGTATTAATTTGTTCCTATGATAAAAATGTTTTTTTGAAATCTTAATGAATGTTGTCATAATATTCAACAATGTTAATAAAAAATAGACGCGCTCTTCTCTTTTTTTTATATATATATATGAGACTTCCATAGTATTAGTAATATGTTGTAACATAAATCATGAAAGAAGCCAGATTTCGTTTATCCGTCATTATTTTAACTATTTAATGTCATAAAAGGTAATGTTTATCATGCCCAGTGCACTTTGCAATGATGTGTAAGGCGGTCGTATACTGAAGGTGATTGTTGGCGTTGATTTCAACAAGTCAGCAAAGTAGCGCCAAAATGCAGTGTTTCATTTTATCACTGACTAATATTCGTATCTGATATCATTCCTTTGTGTCGACTGCATTAACGAAGTTTGATTAATGTATCCTTACTCTGTGCCTGGTACTGTATGTCGAAATTGTCAATACGTGTTTTTATTCTGTTAATGTATGGTCTCGTGAAAGGTTTCTTCCTATATTTTATAGTTCAATGAGGTAACCATATTAATAATGTTATCAGCTAACCACAAAACCATATAATATTCAAGGTATTCATCTTAATGAGTAAAAAATGTTTTGAAAGTTACAAGATCATTGGCGATATCCCGAATATGAGTCCTGCGCCTTTTTTATTATATAATTTCTTTTTCATTCCTCATAATAACAAATATATTGCAACATAATTCAAGAGCGGGCAAGCAATAATTCTATCATTGCCTGCATCGGAAACAAACAGTTTATAGCTGTATATAATTGTTTTTTAAGAACCAAGATAAAATTCGACACCACTTACAACTGAGGCGGTTGATCAAACCACATCTACAAGCTCACTGGGATTAAATGTTGTTAAACGATGTGTAAAATGTCTAGCCCTCCGGGCAACAACGGTTTTAAGTGGACATTATATTAAAAGCTTGGTATTGTGTATTAAGTAAACAAAAAGCATGCAATAGCGCATTCCTTTCGAAAAATATATCGTTTCAATTTAACATATTAGTATAAACTCACATCTATATTTATATATCAACAGTTAGACAATTACGTAGGTTATTTATACGATTATAATGAGCATTATCAATCCAACTTCATCATTTAAATCAAGACTACTTTATTAATATAAACTTAGCAAGTTTTATTATTTTTTGAGTAATTGAAAGCATCAGTATAACTTCGTATGTCGGGTCCATTCTTAGTGCAAACATTTCTTTTGTTTGTTATTACCGGTCCTATATACGGACATTTCAGAACGTCATTAAAATAATTTCCATAACACCTTATGATTTCATAAACTAAACTAATTTTGACATCAGCTTGACAAACACATATGAATAAATCTCTTTCTACAAATATTTCATTCTCCTTTACATGACAAATATTATCATTGTGTTACTGTCTTTTGTCACCAGGAAGGCAGTTTTTATGTAAAGAACATTGAGTACGGCCTTCAACCGCTTTCCATGGATTCCCCATTACGACGGAAACGAAGTGCTAACGGTCGAAGAGGGAAACTGTATTCTGTATTTAGGAGGACGCAAGACAAACCCGTCAAAGATGACTTTCAAATGAGTAAGATATCTCCTAAACTAATTTTGTTCCTGCTATTTATTCAAGAGTGACATCAAGTTAACTTGCTTTAAAGATGCTTGATGATCATTTTGAAAACAAATAACAATTAACAAAGCAAATCATTATAAGCATGAGAAGGCATGTGGCATTATAAATATCCATCCGAGTCTAACTGAACAAAATCGCTTTTTTCAGGTTTATACAAAAAAATCAATTGTCTTAATATATTCTTATCAGTTGGAGAAATATGTGTTGTATTTCTCATTGATTGTCAGATTTGTTTCCTAGAATCCCTTGTTTGATAATTCGACATGTAGTCCTATTTTCAAGTCAAAATTAGTTTTCGAAAAAAAGAATTGTTATATTTATCATTAAAAGAGAACATCTTTTCTTCCAAATTTTCAGACGTCAAATTGGTCAAATTAGTTTGTCTAAACTAGGGTGTCAAACGCATGTCTGGTATGAGTAGTATTTTACTACGGATATTAAATGTTATTGGAATACTACAAATACGATATATAGCTTATTTCGATATGCACTCTAGATCCTGAGTCTGTCAATACCGGGACCAACGGACAATCGATGCAGCTGGTTGACAGAGTGCTAGACCTGAGCGAGTTCATGAATCCTTCCAGTGCTACCATGGAATTGAGGAGGAGGGTGTCAGACACAGACACGAAAACGAGACAACGCAAACCACGCAAGCGAATAAATATTTCCTCCACACAATATCAGATGGGATTAATTGTCATAATAGACTTCAGTATTTATCAAACGTAAGTTCTAAGAAAATGTTGAACAAGTTTATACCGAACAAAATTATGAAGAATTTAGAGATTTAACGAAATCTGTGCATGTTATGCGTTTTGCATTATTATCATAACATTATTTGTCTAGATGCACTGGTTAAGGGTCTCTGCCATGAACTGTTATTTTCATTTGCCAATGATTAATTTTATTTATATTTTATTGTTTTTATTTATCTATTTATCTTACTTTATTCAATTTTATTTTTTTAATAAAAAAAACACACCAACCTTTTGGTTATGCTCATTAGTGCCACATAATCACTACCCCGATTACTGCTTAAGGAACGCGATGCTACTTTGATGTTACCGGAATTACAATACCTATAGGGTATCGTCAATGAAGCACACAATTTGCGTAACATTCCGAAATACCTGGTCTTATCCTCTTTGTACTGTTCCAATGGTCTCCATAATTCCTTCATTCGTTCTTATGTGTTGCTACTTAAGTGTTTTATGATTGTATCGTTGTTTGATTTGCTATGTTCCATTTCAAAGATCACGCTAATAGACAATCCCAAATATTTATTTTCCAGTTGGTATAGGCGTAGTGATGAGGCAACAGCTGTCGAGAGAGATATCGACGCTAAATCTAAGATTCGGCAGTATATGGCCCACGTTATTAATGGGGTAAGAATGACATATACCTGGACGTTACGGTTTTAAGTTGGTAAAAAAACAAAGGGAATTATTTTAACAGCATTAGATGATACAACGATTTAAAAACAAAAAGATTATCTTTGTAGCTTAATATAGATATTCTTTTTTAAATTACTTCAATTTAACTAGTACTGTTATAGCTATATACAGTAAACCCTCCTTATACTGCCACCATTTGTAAAGAAAAGATGGCGTTTTAAGGGGGTGTAGCGATAAATTGACGGAAAAGTTAGAAGGAGCATTTAAGAAAAAGAGATAATAGGACCATAACTATACTGGTGGTAAGCAAAGTGGCAAATAAAACAAAGGGCATTATATCGAGGTTTAACTGTTATAATCTTGTTCAATAAGTCGAATGATTCGTACACTGGTAATTAATTTATATATACACTTGTCCTATTTAGGTGGATCTCCGATTTCAAAACTTGCGCCGCAACCGGATAAAAATAGTTGTGTCAAGATATATCATAGCAGATGTAAGTATGCTCCCAAATTATCATTATTTTATGGTGTGTTAGATTTTTTTTTCTTCACTTTAATCTATTGGTTTCATTACTTGTATTCCAACTGATTTAAAACTACTATGATTTAAGTAAAGTTATTCATAGATTACTTCTTTTTGTCATGCAGTGTAGTTGTACCATGCAGTGTATTTGTACGATGCAGTGTAGTTGTACGATGCAGTGTATTTGTATGATGCAGTGTAGTTGTACGATGCAGTGTATTTGTATGATGCAGTGTATTTGTTTGACGCAGTGTATTTGTACGATGCAGTGTATTTGTATGATGCAGTGTATTTGTACGATGCAGTGTATTTGTATGAAGCAATGTATTTGTATGATGCAATGTATTTGTTTGATGCAGTGTATTTGTACGATGCAGTGTATTTGTTTGATGCAGTGTATTTGTATGATGCAGTGTATTTGTACGATGCAGTGTATTTGTACGATGCAGTGTATTTGTATGATGCAATGTATTTGTATGATGCATTGTATTTGTACGATGCAGTGTATTTCTATGATGCCGTGTATTTGTATGATGCAATGTATTTGTATGATGCAATGTATTTGTATGATGCAGTGTATTTGTATGATGCAATGTATTTGTATGATGCAGTGTATTTGTACGATGCAGTGTATTTCTATGATGCCGTGTATTTGTTTGATGCAGTAGAAATGAATGATTTTATTTTTAGCTAAAATAGTGTACTAATATTTCATCAAAAATATGCTATGCATCTTAGACTCCAGGAGCTTCGCCTTGGACATCAAGGAGGTTTATAGCTCAACCTCGGGATCTGGTATATGCAGATGACGCGTTGAATGAGCTCATCAAATGGCGTTATAGGATGGGGCATGAGTTACCCATACACGACCACACCATTCTGTTTACTGGGTAATACAATATTTTATTTATAGGGTTACCTATATAAAACTGCTTCTCATTATATATGAGTAATACACCTACAAACAGAATGTTCTTAACATAAAAAATACACTGTTCCTGCCAAACATAAATATTAATGTGTACTACATTTTACCTTAAATCAAAGCAAGGCGATAACATATTATAATTTTGGAATTTGTTAGGCAAATCATATAATATAATGTAAATATTAGTATTTTGACTTGCAAAACTATATCTGATCAAAATAAATTATATATGATGATCCACCACTCCTTATGTCCAACAATGAGATAGCATTCGTTAGCGCTCCTGGCTAATAAAATATAAAGAAAAAATAAGGATACTGCACAACACAAAGACGTTTTATGATCTTCACTTCAAATGACGTGGCTGCAAACCAGGTTGAAATAGTGCAAAACGTCCTTTTGGTTTGGATTATTCTTTATTTTCCATATAATCGGTCAAGATGTTATTACTTATGAATTACAAAATGAACTATCAGTCTTACTCTTGTTTTGCATAGATTAAATTCTATCTATTTTTTTTACAGATACGATCTGTATCGACCTACACTCGCCAATAAAGGAGTTGCAGGTAACATACGTCATCTATCAAAAAATGTTAATGGGGGCATAGTGTTTTACTTCACCTGTCAGTAGTTACTATATATACATATACAGTTAAGTATATCATAAAATACATGACATATCGCTACTGACAGGACAGAAGCATTATTAATAAAGACCATCAACAGCTCTCTAGAAGCCATTTTTGAAGAATGTTTAAATAAGTATTGAATTCCGTTACACATGCAAGGTATTAAATGTCAAAGCAAAAGCAAATCAGTTGAAGTTTCAGTCATTAGAATATTTGTAACATGTCAATTGGTCAGGTCAATTCTTGAAATTTAAATTTCTAAATCTGGAATATTATTTCATAATCAAAATTAGACTTAGTAACAAAACACACCTATCGTAACCAAATTCCTTGAATACTGATTCAGATTGATTTAGAAAATTAGTCATAAAGTTCTATTTGGATCCATTTTTTGATTGATGATATATTATGTATTTTAGATTTAAAATCAAATTCATGTTTGTAAGATAAAACATTTGGTCATATGAATATTCCTCAGCACGTGCTAACGTAGCTTTTGGTGTCGTCATGTTTTCGATATCACGTGAGTTTGTTTTGAAAGAGATAATATTCGTACAATATGTTTGTTTCTAAAAACGAAATGAGTCAGTCTATCTAAATACAACCAAAACGAAAATGCACTTGCACTGATATGATAAAAAAGAACAATTTATTAAATGATTTATTATTTTCAATAGGTTTTGCACGTGTACGTTCTATGTGCAGTCACTCAAGTGTCTCAGTGGTCGAGGAACATGGAGGTTTTGGTAGTATTCTAACTGCAACTCACGAGATAGGACACAGGTGAATTTATAAACGATGGATACATTTTATGGTTGTCTATTTTTTTTAACTAATACCCTCACTTGATTTCGAATTCCAGGGCCTGAAATAAAACATTAGTTAGCATTGGTTAAACATGTTTAATAACAAATATCAGATATGCAGCCGTCGTATATATATGATTAAATATATAAATTTCAAACATGTACGATATTCACAATTTCTTTTAATGTTTTTATGTGGTATTCAGATACATTATTGTTATTATTTCTATAACCGTTTGTTATATCATGGCGGCCAAATAACAATTATATATAAATCAACTATTGCTTGCCATATGACAGTCTTTGAGTTTCCCGTGACGGTCATTATAACGTTGTAAATAAATCAATTATTGTCTGCTATACAATAGTCTTGGCGCTTACCACGACGGCCACAATAACAGCTGTGCCGGAGAAGACAACTTCATAATGACTCCAATAGGAGGCTCTGCCACACCTTCTAATGCACTCAATCCGTTCCACTTCTCAGAATGTTCTGAGGATGCCTTCGACAACCTCATTGATGCGTTGTAAGTATAAATCATCCTAATGTTGCAACAACATGTATAAAACATATCAGTATAGCAACTATAAAACATCCTACCATTGTAGCTTTAAACATCCTGCTATTGTTGCTATACAGCAATATGCGATCGTAACTATGAAACAGCGAAGCATTGTAAATGAGCAATTCTCTAAGATTGTATATGGAAATGCAACTATACAAATTCCGAATATTGTAACTTTACAAAATCATTATTCTGTTACTATGAAAAAAATCTAGTATTGTATATATATTGCGATTTAGTATCATATGCATAAATCATTCTAGCATTGTATCTAATCTACGATTTAGTATTATATGTATGAAACATTCTAGTATTTTATCTATACTACGATTTAGTATTATATGTATGAAACATTCTAGTATTGTATATATATTACGATTTAGTATTATATGTATGAAACATTCTAGTATTGTATCTATACTACATGTATGATTTAGTATTATATGCATAAAACATTCTAGCATTTTATCTATGCTACGATTTAGTATTGTATGTATAAAACATACTAGTATTGTATCTATACTACATGTATGATTTAGTATTATATGTATAAAACATTCTAGTATGGTATCTTTACTATGATTTAGTACTATATGTATAAAATATTCTAGTATTGTATCTATACTATTATTTAGTATTATATATATGAAACATTCTAATATTGTATCTATACTATTATTTAGTATTATATGTATAAAACATTCTAGTAATGTAACCAGACTCAATGTTAAAGGCACTGAAGACTTTTCGTCATATTTGCGTCTTGATATTTATGAACATTATGAAAGAAACTTTCTACATCCCGTTAATATTATAAATATTACGGCATTGAGTTCCATATCAAAACACTCCGTTTGTTTCGCAATTGTAACATACAAACATGTACCAGCCTTCCTATTTAAGTTGGTGGGTTCGATACTCCTAGATCATGCTCTCATGTATAAGAAATTTCAATATAGACGACTCATATGTCAATAACATTTTCTTTCTATATGCGCTATAGAATGTTTATAATATATTTTTTATTGTGAAGTATTTGAAAAGAACAGTATGTCGAAAATGTCAAAGCATTGCATGATTGTATGAGGTAAACATCATACAATTCTGTCTTGAAATAAAAAGCATTACAAGGTTTTAGAAATATCATTGTTTATTGGTTGTTATCCTCACATAGACCTCGAAGTCATTGTCTGACGGATGAGACGGACACTTACGACCAAGAGGAGTTTGAATCGTACCTCACACAGAAGGCTGGTCAGCTCTACGGACCGAACCAACAGTGTCGACAACATTTAGGGTCAGAATCTTACTACGCATGGGTAAGTTACCGAAATGCATATAGTATAGCCAAATATAGTCAGATGCAAATTAGACATATGAGTATATCATACTATTCCTTGCTTTCAATGTTATAATTATGTTTGTATTAAAACTAATATGGGATACAATCCAATCTGATATGTTTATATAGACATGCAAGCGATATAATTAAATATTTATAGGCGATTTTTGGCAACTAACATTGTAACTACCTGTGCTATACATAGACTGATCATAATCATATGTACAACCATTTGGTATATTTAGACATGATAAAAGGCCGGTGGTATATGTAGACATGTAATATGTATAAACATTTGGTATATATAGACATGATATAAGGCCGGTGGTATTTGTAGACATCTACAAAATATAGACATTTGGTATATATAGACATGATAAAAGGCCGGTGGTATATGTAGACATGTAATATGCATAGACATTTGGTATATATAGACATGATAAAAGGCCGGTGGTATATGTATACATGCAATATGTATAGACATTTGGTATATATAGACATGACATAAGACCGTTGGTATTTGTAGACATGTACAAAATATAGGCATTTGGTATATATAGACATGACATAAGGGCGTTGGTATTTGTAGACATGTACAAAATATAGGCATTTGGTATATATAGACATGACATAAGGCCGGTGGAATTTGTAGAAATGTACAAAATATAGACATTTGATATATATAGACGAAATAAATATAGATATGATGCATTTATATACGAAATATAGATTGGTGGTTTATATAGATATATGATATATGAACATTTAACAATGCATAAATATACAAACAGATAGTCCATTACCAATGTTATTAATATTTACATAGGAGCGGTATTTATATACGGGTGGTATCTATACACAGTCTTTAATTATGAACTCGTGGTATGTACAGGTTGATGGTAGATATATCCATCGAATACAGGTTTTACTGACTATTAAGGCGAGCTGTTCAGTGATGTAGTAGGAATATCAAACAAATTCTACATTTATCAACAGCCCGCTATTAAACATGTCACGTGTTTCGTTTACTAGGGCGGAATTCTCGGAGAGGCAACAGAAGTTTGTACTCATATGGCATGTAAAAATGCAATGTCAAATACAAGTTTCAATATATACTATGCTGCCCAGGGGACATCATGTGGTAATAAAAAGGTAGGCTACCTGTTAAACAATCTGTTCTTTTTCTTTTAAGTGCATGATTTGTTTGAGAAATTTTCTGTAACTTGTAGATTACGTTTTTCAAAATCGTCTAATCTTCATCACAGGTCATTCCTCAACCAACAATTGATGTAGCTAAGGAGATTTGTGTAACTGACAAACATTATATTCAGATATTTGACATGGATTATACATGCAGTAATATTATATGAAAATAGATGAATTACTAAACCATAATCATAAACATATAGATAATAAAGATTCCAAGTAATACACTAATTGTGTACAAATGAAATTAACTTGCATACTTATGTAAATTTCTACATTCCCAGTGGTGTGTCGATGGTGAATGTCTTTATGAAGAGAAAGCTCCCAAAAGAGAAGGTAAGATGTGCTCAACATTTACTATATAATTTAAAGTACCTCTGACATTGTAATGTCATGATAAATTAATACAATCTGTATCACCTAAAAGGAAATCGGCCCACAGCATTGTTGTTTATGTTCATTATACAGTATTGGTTTTACCAGATTTAACCTCTTACTTACAGCTAAGGTAATTTAAGACGTGTCTCTATTTATATAGTGTATGCGTGAAATGTGTGTTTGTGTGCTGGAGTCAGGGTGTAAAAGTCTCCTTGCAATTGCGGGGATCTAATGCCGACTATTTAGTGTTAGTTCACTGACATACGACGAAGGTACGCATCAATATTCCGCCCGGTCTCATTATACTTAAAATAGGTTAACCATTTGTTGCGATCATCCTAAATGCTGGGCTTTAAACAGAGTATAAAAGCGACCTTTTTAAAGAACATCGATATTCTCCGCTTGAGGAGAGGACTCATTGCTTACCCCCATGTTGCCGAACATTCAACAATAAGGGCAACATTGGAGGTATTGCCAAGCAAGGCACTTGGAAACAAAATGGTTGTTAGGAAATACAAACAAATCTATATATCCCAAATGTTGCATTGGGGGCAGCAGATCAGTGGTCTTCTCCGCAATGTTCCCGCAGCAGAAGACAAGGCATAAAACGCCTGATTCTGGAGTGGACCCACATTAGTCGCCTGAATTTTTAGCGCAATAAAAATATAAAGTTATCTCACAGGAACCTTGGGCTTATTTCAAATAATAAGCATAATAATTAGTTATACGTATGTTTTATCACCTGAGGTTTGATCCTATAATTAATCACATTACCATATTTCCGCTTTCAGAAACCTGTGTACACGGAGATGCGTGGAGGAGGTTTGGAGGTTTGACATGTGCTCAATACGTCAATGCTGATCCCAGTAGGTGTTACTATTCCTATTACAGTCGATTCTGCTGTGTATCGTGTGCCAGTCTACGCAAAGGGGAACCAGGTACTAACAGACGCGTTTAATTTGCAAAACTAATGTTTCTAAAAAAATGTATTTCATTTTCAAATACCATTTGAATGTCAGACACTTAGTTTGATTCAAGTTAATTTCTGTAAGCGTTCATAATTAAGGGATATTTTAATTTTAGCGCTTTTGGCGCTTTAAAACTTGCGCTTATTTATGTCAACGCTAATTGAGGTTCCGGTATATCGTTGTCTATTGCATATGTTTTTATTGCAGTAATTCTTCAATGCGCTAAGCTGTTAATATTCAGTGCTACGTTAAAATATAAGTAATCTTAAATAAGGACTTTACGATATTATGTAGTAAGGCATACATTATTGTATTTTAAAGGATGCGAATATGGCAACAGGAAAAAGAAAGTGTGCAATATGGTGGACAGAGATCCAAGATTTTGTTACCATGACAACAACGAGAATTTGTGTTGTGGCAGTTGTAAAAAGCATAACACAGGGATTACAGGTAAACATGTCATTCTTCCTTTTTGGTGTAACTGCTTAATTTATATTTATATAAGGTACTACGAGTATAAAGTTAAAATCTTACAAAACTTTAATAAAATTCAAACTAGCTAAACACGAACGACTAAAATCAAAATCAAATATTAATTAACATTAAGGTATTCCTTTTATTTCATGTTAAAGTGTAAAGATTCATCTTTGTGATAACTGTATTTGTCCAATACCTAAGGTTGTGAGTATGGCGACAGACTACCTGAATGTAATACAACAAAGTGTGATGACAACACTTACGCCAAACAATGCTGCAAGACGTGCAGCGAGCATAAACGTAAACCAAAGCCTCTAGCCCTTGTTTCACCTATGCGAGAATCTGTATCTGCAACGATAACTGTGCTTCCGAAGAAAAGAAAATCCAATCGAGACGGGACATTTACTTCGGTTCCTTTACCACCGAATGCATTGTCCTCACGTAAGACAGAAATTCCGCTTACACTGCCAGTATTGACACCTGAATCCTCGATGTCGGAGAACAATACGATACAGGACAGCTTGCGTTCTACTCTACATAAAGTAGAAGGCATAGAAGTTTCACAACATGGTCCTATCAAGCCATTAACGACACAAATGGACACTTTTAACCAGCCTGTGGTAGGGCAAACACAAAAGTCGGCATTTCACCACAGTCGAGACTGGAAATCAAGACAATCTACCATACCAAGAAAAACATTAATCAGCAAACCAGTAGTTGTTATGAACAACAATGAAAGGAGACCTACGGTTTTTCATAGTAATGAAACTCGCCCTGTGAAGATGTTTTCGACATCAGAAATTGAATCAAACAATAGAATAAACAGTGTTTTCTCACAAAATGTTCCTTCACCCTCAAACGACGTACATTCCCCACTCGGTGACATCAGGTCAATAAATATGTTAAAGACATCGTCTGTTACGAAACAACAATTGGAACAAGAACAATTAAAGAAAAGGAAACAGCAAGAACTTGAAAAGCAACGACGTGAACAACAAGAACGCGATCGCAAACAGGATGCAAAGAAACAAGAGGAATATCGTCTAGAACAAGAAAGGCTACAGCTCCAACGGGAAAAAGAACAACGCGAACAGCGCAATAGGGAGCAGCAGCAACGTGAACAACGCCAGCGGGAACAACAACAACGTGAACAACGTCAGAGGGAACAACAACGTGAACAACGTCAGAGGGAACAGCAACAACGTGAACAACGCCAGCGGGAACAGCAACAACGTGAACAACGTCAGAGGGAACAACAACAACGTGAACAACGACAGAGGGAGCAACAACAGCGCGAACAATTAAATCAAAGGGAGCGCCTGCAAAGACAACGACAGTTACAAAGTCAAAACCCAACACGACACCATAGTTCTACACAGCTCTTAGTTCGACCGTCACATCAATCAACGCCACCGAGGATTTTTCACGTGAACAGATTCCCGGCAATGTCGCGATCAACTAACGTTCTTAACAAATTACGGCGAAACTCTTTACGACCACGAGTGACTACCACAACTACTACAACAACAACGCCCGCACCTGTGCGGGTGGCGCCACCTATATTGTTCAGTAATCCACATCAAGAACAGTGTGTTAAACCAGGGGCTGTATTTATGTCCTTGAAATGTGATTGGCTAGTCAGATTGATGAAAGGACTTTGTAAAAATCCTATCCTCGGACGAGTATGCTGTGCAGACTGTAAGCCGGTACAACCACGGGAACCAGGTGAGGGTCTAATATTTACTTTGAGTAATACATTACATGATATATACAATTTGTTACTTCGGACAGGCACGTTGCTATGAATCAAATCTCACCCGCCATGCTGGATTCCAAATTGTTAAAACATAAGACATGTATGGGTGGTACATACGTAATTAACCTGATCGTTAAGTAATTTGCAAGGAATAGTCATGTCGATAAATTTGATCAATGTCGATTAAACGCCTTCATCTTTATCTCAACTTAAACTTTTGCAACATGTACAATGTATGCAAGTTGTAATATTGGATAGCAAATTA